CGTCCTTCTCGTCCTTCTCGTCTCGTCCTTCTCGTCCTTCCCGCCTTGTCGTCCTGCTGTGGAAATAGTCTTCTGTACTGGACTGCTGGATTCGCTGCCATGGCCTCCCTCATCACTACATTGGCTGCCACGGTCTCTGTACTGGATTCGCTGCCATGATCTCACTCACTACTGGATTCGCGGACTTGGACTCAGTACTTCATTCGCTGCCAAGGCCTCAGTACTGGATTCGCTGCCATGACCTCTCTACCGGATTCACTGCGAAGGACTCTATACTAGTTTGCTAGTGTGCCTGCTAGGGCCCCACTTGTCATCGCCGCCATTCCTGGCCGGGCTTTGGTTCCTGGCCAAGCTTGCGGCACCGCTGCTGTTGTTCCTTCGACTCCTGCAAGGACACCCAACCATAGGATCCTATTCTGGGCCAGCATCGTACACGGTCGAAAGAAGGTGTCCGCGATGGTGCCAGTGGCGCGGGAAGCAGTAGTAGGAGACTTGATCGGCCGCGGATGTAGTAGGTCGGATGAAGAGTAGGACGGGGAGCAGTGGGAGGAGACGGTATCCGCGGCGGTCTCAGTGCTCTATCCGCCATCGGGGACGAGTCGAGGACGGCGAGAAGTGGTAGGACGAAGACGGTCGGCGAGAAGTGGTATCTAGGGAAGAGGAAGATTCAGCGGCAGTTTCTGCAGGATGACTTGTGCTGAGCAGGTTGTTGTAGGGGGGCAGCGCATTCCCGCTATCCGCGACGGTGATGAACAGGATGTGTAGCCGGGCGAGGAGGGGGGCGACGAGTCGAGTGAGGAGATGTAGTAGAACAGCTTGATGGTCTGAGTCGCATGAAAGACCGATAAAGCACGTGCGTAAGTGCTGTCAGATGTGGGCGCCATACCGCATTCAGTCGCTTTAACGTTGAGATGATCACTGCTGCTACTCTTATATCCGTCTGGTTTCAACCAACACATGAGAGATAGACATTATCACCACCACCAGGCATTATTAGTTTAACGTTGAAGATGTACGCGTTTCTGCCTGACGAACACAGGCTGCTTTTCTTTCTTTATCAGTTTCGTGTCAATACCTTATGTCCTCCAAGTTGCCCGATCTCACGCCCGGTGATTCCATACCTGCTACGCGGTGAAGGTAAGGATGACATCATGAGACGAATGGTGGCGAAAGGTTACTGAAGAATGACGTATGACGTGAAATGTGTTGAATATAAGCAGCTACACACACCCGAATCTCCCGCTAGGTCGACACGTATACTCCGTCTGATGTTTTGTTTCAACACAACCTCTGTCGGACGCTGTCATTGAATGCTGTCGGATTCCGTTAATGGACACGGCTTCTGATAGAAGATTGAGTGTAAATATCATGCACTGATTACGAGATGGAATGAACATACATGCGTTGAGATGTGCCTCCAGTGGACGATTTTTCAGAGATCCCCACGTGAGATCGGCGATGCCTTGTTTGCCAGTGCAAAACTTCCTTTTCGCACGATTAGTGAATATCTCCCCTCGCACGATTAGTGGCATTTACCTTCGCACGATTAGTGACCATCAGATTTCGCTATCGTTACCCACATGATGATGACGACGGGAAAGGATTGCAAAGTGGTTCCGCACCGATCTGCTCAATTTCGGGGTGGTGCAGTGGATCAATCGCTGGCCGGTTACAGCCCGAAAGACCCCTACGTAATGCCGCATTGCCACAAATCTCTCGTCCCTTCAGATTCCGTCTTTCCACGGCGAGTTGTTACCAGTACTCATGTACACTCTTTCTACCTTCCCACTGCTCATTTCCGACAGTCGTAGCTGTCACCATCGATGACGTGTGCCCAGTGAGGAACAAACACTACAGTGAGGAACAAATAGTACAACCTCTATAGCCACAACGATGCTGTCACTGCGGCGGATAACACTCTGACAAAGTCACGTGTTGCGAATAGCGCCAAGAGGGACGTTCACCGGCAGCAGCCGCCCATGTGCTGTTGTGGAAAACACGTATCGACATTGGATACTGTAGGTTTTCTTGATTTGGAGCATTCACGCAGTGTAGGTGGTGAGGATTAAAACCCTCTGAGTTTACCCTAATCATTGTGATACGCTAATCATTTTCCAGCCTGGAGTTCCGTCTGGGCTTTATAATGAGAGGGGCAACACCAACTCTCTCTTCCTCACTCATCATCTCTTTCCAATCACTTCAATTGTCTACTGAAGGCAACCGGGTAATTTCTTCGACATTCAACTTCATCTTCCTGTTTGTCTTCTCCACCTTTTTCACTCCCTATCCCACATCCTCCCCCTCCGTCCTCGACATTCCAAACATCTTAATAACACCGACTACTAAGCTGACGCAGACAATCACGCGACACACTGGCGGGCCCAACTGGATCTTGAAGATCCAAAGACCTGCCCGTGGGCAGGAGACCTGCTCTCGGACAGAAGAGGTGCTGGAGGGCCACAACCCCACCCCACAAGGCTCATCATGCGGAATCTCGCTACTACTCCCTACCACCACCGCCAGATACACCTCCGTAGCATGCGTTACACCATGATTCTGCCCTTCGTGGGAAGAATCTTCCTTTTCGTGAGATCGACCGCGATTCTCCTGGATGCCGACCGCCAAGAGAAACGCGACTGCGACCCGACAGGAAGCAGTGTGGCATTTGCCATGGTAAAGGCGTCTGGAACCAACTACGACAAGATTCGGCGTTGAAACCAGGTAGTGGCTCGCCTTGGCGACCGCGGCAGGATGATTTGGCGGCGCTCCATTTACGAATCAGAAGGTTAGTGATTCTAATACGGTCGTCTGGCTTGGGCGACCAGGATGATTTCCGATAATGGCGTGTGGATGTTGACTTGGCTTCGCGTACCTAGGAAACTCCGGGATGGTGTTTGATGGGATGTTGCAGGAGATGCTGGTGTTGTTTCTCGGCGTCTACTTTGGACGCCGGAAGACGTGCCCTCGGGCACAAGAGGTGCATGAGGGCAGATGCCTGCCCGCCGGTACAAAAGGTGCCCAAGGGAAGACGCTTGCCCGACGGCACAGGGGGTGCCCGTGGGCGGGAGGTTGCCTGACAGCCGCCAGAGAAGATGGAGCCACCACAAGGATAACTACAGGAGCTGGTGGTGCCGACACGGTGTACGCACTTTTTCAAGGATCTTCGAAGAAAGTCTCAGGCGGCGAGAACGCGCACACAATCAAGGTGTGCAAATTTCAGACGATGGCACGTGTTCCATGCACAGAAGCGGTAGTCAACTACGGTGACGCCGGGAGTGCGGTGCTGGGTCTGGACGCAGCAGGGAGTCAGTTGGTTTTCCTCGGGATGCTTCTGGCGAGGGCAGGCAATGTTGTCCTGTTCGTCCCGCAGGCAGAACTATTTGCGCAGATGGAGAAGAAGACGGGTGTTTCTTGGCAAATCGCGACGTAATAGGTTCTTTTCTATTGCTTTCTGTCGGACATCCACGAGACCACAGGTGGATAAAAGAATTGCGCAGCTGAAGACGAAGATAGGTGTTGCCAGAGAGATTGCGACCGAATAATCGTAGGCAAACTGTACTAGTTATTGGTGGCACAATCTCGCATGCTCAACCAGCTGACTCTACGGCTCTACATTCACGCAATGCACTCGATTATTATCATCGTAAGAACGTAATCTGGTTGAAACCGGGTAATACTCCGCTCGTTACTTCAGTGTGCACCTACAGGTCTGCAATTTGTGCTTACTGCCTCTGTGAGCGCAGGGTACTCTTGTTTATTCATGCAAAATCCCCCGCACTCGTAATGCTCCGCTGTGGAACCTAATATTCCCCAGAAAGGTTTCCTGTTTGAAGCAGGAGGAATAATGCAACCTGGCCAAATCATCAGTCCCGGCTCCGCTGTCACACAGAATCGCGCAAAAATCACTGCGTATTTGAGTCATAATCGTACGCTTTTGAGTGGTACTCTTAAACTCTCGAGTGGTAATCGTACGCTGTCGAATGGTAATCGTACGCTGTCGAATGGTAACCGTGCGCTTTCAAGTGGTACTGGTATGCTTTTGAGTGGTAATCGTACGCGTTCGTGAATGTTTTGGTCGACTGCTTCACCCGTAGCGATACCATCGCTCGAATATCTATCGCTTTAGTAACACTGCTTGCCTGCCGACTAACACATTTACAGTGCGGTGCTTTCATATATGCCCTGACGTAGTTCAGGTAGCTACCGATTTGAAATCGATTACTAATGAAGCGCCCGAGTTCAGACAGGATCCAAGTGTACAGATTGTGACATTCCAGTACGAGTCGAACTGCTGTTCATACGAGGTCGATTGAGGGTTCTTAATAAAGGGAAGCATACACGTATACCATTTGCTTGACCAATGTGATTTCACGAAGCGGGGATTCGATCATGCTTCGCCTCGGTGAACACGGTGCAAAAATCCTGATGGTTTATCTGCAGGAGCCGGTGGTTCATCGTACTGCAAGCGATAACTGCCTTCAACTGGCTTATAGTGACCTGCAGACGCTTGATGATTAAATGCAGCTGTGAGTGTCACGCAGTGACAACGTTCCTCTGGCTTGGTGCACCATGCGGGATACTGTTGCGTGACTACTACTAGACCAGAGTGGAGAATGTTAATCCCGAGTAACAAATTGTTCACTTTGCCTCGATACTTAGATAGCATCCCTCATACCTGTTACCAGGACCGGGGCGTTATGGATCTTCGTCCCGATGGTGGCTTGCCCGATTCTGTCGATTGTGACTATCTTCAAATGATGCCTTATGTTGCCGGCTGGGTCTAGTGCTCTTACCATCTATGGTGCGTTAACACTCGGCATTGCAGATATCGTAATATTCACACAACTTAACATCGCGGATGAAGAGGGGAAAGCCCTAAACTAGACTCTTTTGAACCAAGTTGAAATCAGTCGGCGAAAAATAGAAGTAGACAATAGCGCCAATCCAATAACTTGCTCATCCAACACTTGCCTTCCGCTGGTGCCTTCTTCTTAAATACCTCTCATCCCATTCCTTCTTTTGTTCCCTCCATCTTACATACATCTCAAAAACTCAGATATCCTTCATCACTCACAACACTGCTTTCATTTTGCTCACTCCGTCTCCACCTATCTTTCCTTTCTCTCCCATCATTCTCCACACGCCTTTCTTCCCTTCTCAAAAATGAGTTGCGGAAACCCGGAATTGTTGCCTTCGCTGTACGTCTTCCGTATTTCTTGCGATACAGTTGATGAAGACTGACATCGTTAGATGGCTTTACTCATTCATTCGGAAGCTGCGGAGATGCTTTTCTTATGGCGCACCAGGTACGTCACCATTTCCAGTTGCGAAGTCCATTGTCCTGTCTTGCGGGAAACGAGTCGACATCTGTGCGCAAAGCTCTTGACTGTTTACTCATGCTTCGATGGCGCAGACCAAATGTGGACAATTAACATGCTAGACCCGGAATCGTGCAGAAATGCGTCGACAGCATTGCCAGCGGGACTCGTCACCTCCCATCACTCGCAGAGCCTACCGGTCTGTCGTTAACCGCGCCCAGCTGCGACGCAACTTCTGCTTCGAAAATGTCGACCCGACTCAGCGCAAAGGTAACCCAGATCTAGAGTGCACGAAATGTCAGCACGGACAATCCATCTCCTATATGACAAAGGCTAGGGGGGATAAACCAGTCGGAGAAGTTACATGTGGATGTCGGTAAGTTGACCGACGAGATTGACGACCGCCTGAGGGACCTATGTCGTTTATGTCGCTTAATCACGGGGCATTCGTATGCTGACTAAAGTTATTAACATAATCGCGAGTGGGTTGACACTCACGGACGAATTTTGATTGCGTATCTGGACGCACTTCTCATGCCCGCAGAGACGAAGGTAGCGATCGTGCCAGGATGCCAACCCGGATGGGAATTGGTTGTGCATGGACCAATCCATGGTGCCGACAATGGCGAATCGAAGGAACGGCCGAACTTTGCTATGCAGCTGGAGGTGACACAATCCATCCCGACTACTAGGCATTCTGTCACCGTGCTAATATTAAGATAGCGGCCGGGTTCTAGAAGACTGAGACCCAAGCGCAATATGCGTCCGCATTATCCATCCGTGGAGGACGGTCAAAGCGTGGTATGTCAACTACTTCGGCACGCCTAATTTTGAGCTGACAGAATTGCAGAGACTTGACCGCACGCAATGGAGCATTTGCAAAAAACCCCTCTGAGCTCTCTGACGCCGACCGCGCATCCCGCCGTCCAGGTCCGGGTTCTGCATAGTGTTGGTCAAGTGGACACCAACGAGTAACCATATCCTGCCTGTGGGCAGCGGGCTATCGGCCATCCAGTCTGGTCCCGAGGTGTGTCGTACATTAATGGGGAGGCAGGAAGTGGAGAAGTACGTGCTGGTAATCCAGGTAGTCGAGACGACTCGACTCGAGGATGAAGAGGAGGTAGTCGATTTGCTCTGCCATCACCAGACCTGCGGTGCAGGTTGTAGCTGGACGTGCAGTTGGCTGCCCGTTCACGAGGAAGTACAGTTATTGGCTGACACCTCGATCGGAGTATATCGGACGATTCCGCCTCTACCACGACGCCTTCCCTAATCGTCGCCGCCTCTAAGAGGCCCGAGTACGCCAAGCTTATCGATGCCGCCGTTGAATACGGTACGACCAACGGCAAGGACGTCGAGTCGCAGGTTGAGGCCGACATGGACCATCCTCTCGTCGAGTTCGGAAAGAGATCCTCAGGATCATTCCCGGCAAGGTTGAACATTAATCATTTGGCGACTCCTACGCCGACTCTCCTAAGCTGACGCAGACAATCACGCCACACACTAGGGGGCCCAACTAAATCTTGAAAATCTAAAGACCTGCCCGTGGGCAGAAGACCCGCCCTTCGGCACAAGAGATGCCGGAGGGCGGAAATCGTGCCCTGCGGCACAAAAGGTGCCGGAGAGCAGAAATGCTGCCCCACGGCAGAAGCAGCGCTCGGCCAATGCTGAGAAGTCTATTTAGAATCTGGAGACTTCTTTACCAATTATGGAACGGGTGGGCGCCGTTTCATTGTTGTCGCCTCTATTACCGCCAGCACCACCTCCCTCATTGCCACAATGCCACTTCGTCAACCGCCATCACCGTCACCACCAGCCTCTTCCCCCTCAGAGACAGCTATGGACATCCCGACACCTACGGTGTTTGAAGTAGGATTTGCTATGGTAGAGGGGACTGGAACTACCAACGACAAGATTCGGCGGTGGGCCCAGTCAGTGGTTTGCCCTGGCTACTGCGGCAGGATAGTTCGCGGCGACGTATTATTACTAGGGGATAGTATCGGTGGTGAGACCATGGAGCAGGTGGGCGCATTCTGTCTTCGTGTCAGGAAGTGCGGAAATGAAAACGACGATACGCAATATGGGCTCACCGCACTGCATATGGTTGTGCCGACTTCAATATCGAAAGCCATGGCCAGCCGACCGACTGGGATTGTCACGCGTCCTGGGAACCATGATGTCTCGGAACGATTGCTCGACAACTCCAGCTGCTCGAGTGTGTTGGCGTGGATACATCAATTCCACTCGGGCGGGCTATCAAGTGGATGAAACACCATGTGCACCAGGGGAAATGCCTGCCTGTGGGCAGATTACACACCCTTGCATCGAGTGTCTTGGTTTGGATACATCAATCTCACTCGAGCGAACAATCAAGTGGATGAAACATCATGAAGGAAATTTTGGCGAGATTGTGGACGGAGAGATGGGTGTGGACACAGCTGGATGGAGAGAGGACTGGGCTGTCATTAAAGTTCAAGTAACATACAGCGACGACCGATCCGAATGGTAGGATCGGCGCCGCAGCTTCGATCACACTCCCCTGCCTCGCTCGTTTCCGTACATCGCCGCAGTCATGCAGTCCCGCCATGCGCGTTGCGGAGAGTTTGCATTGAAGGATGGAGCCAACACTTGAGTAACTGCGAATTTCACGGTAGATGTTAGTGTCGTTTCTCGGCGTCTTATTACGACGGCAGACGACCTGCCCGACGGCGCTAGTGGTGCCCGAGGGCGGATGCCTGCCTGTGGGCAGAAGACCTGTCCAACGGCACAGGAAGTGCCGGTGGGCGGGATGCTGCCTGCGAGCCTCTAGGGAAGATGGAAGCAAGAGGTTGTACGACTCCCTCAGGACGCAACTGAAATCTAACCGGATGAGATGCTGGAGGAACGCATACGCATGGCCAGTAGAATAGCTGCGGGTTCTGCTTAACTTAATCTACCTACAAGCATCCCTTGGGCATATCTTGTGTCTCGTTACTGTCCACCATAATACGACAACCATATCTGATAATTATGTATGTTCTCGCTTCTTCCTGAACCCTCTTCTGGCTCTTCCAAACCATCTACTCGGTGATGACATTCATTTGTCCGTCGCAGAAATTATGCGCCCAGACTGGTACAATAACCTGTTGGGGCGGACTCGGTTACCGCTTACCTTCAAGGACCTACGGTCCCCGGGTCGAGTGACGATACAGCTCACACAATCGAGGTTTGGACGTTTCTGACGATACCGCATATTCCACGCTAACGAGTGGTAGTTGAGTATGGTGACGCCGGAAGCGCAGTGCGGGGTCTGCATGGAAGATGGGCCCAGGCCTGGGAATAGTCTGTCCGGACGGAAGACTATTGGGGTCCGGAAATGTTTAGTGCGGAAGCAGCTAGCTACTAAGTGTACGGTGCCGGCTGTCCGCAATATTTTGGCCGGTGAACATTTTCCATCTGATCGCATACGGAAGTACCCATTGCCAACTCCTTAATTCTCGCCGTGCTGCCAACTCTTTAGCTTCATTTCTACCTGCTGTGCCACTGCGCCACTACGCCACTGCCCAAGGCTAGTACTAGCGCCAAATTTTCCGGGCTCGAATGCGGCCCCAGTCGTCGTCCGGCTTGCCCGGAGCCCTATAGTCCTTGAGGTTTCGGATCCGAGATGTTCCGTCTCGTCCGGGGCACAGCCTCGGACGCACGGGACGGACGATTCCCAGGCCTGGATGGGTCTGGGTTTTCTAACCTCGAAATTTTTGTGGCGTGGGCCTGCCGCCCGCGATATTGGGCTGTTTGTCCCGCACACGGAGGCTTTGAAGCAAATTGATGTGAGAACGGCTATTATCTGGGAGATTCCGTAATTAGCCGCTGCCTAGATGCTTTGTTGGTTCTGTTCAATGATGATTTGGATTTTGGCAGAATAGTCTAATATGCAATATTTGTTTTTTGATGTTCGAACCCGTCACCACTTCTACTAACCGACAGTGAAGCCCACCACTACGCAACCCCACCGCTATGCCAGCCCACTACCATATGAACCTACTACGACGCAACCCCGCTGTTCGTGATCCTTCCGTAAGTTAGAAGTATTGACCCACACCCTGTCGTTACCTGCTGGCTGTCGGTAACCCGTCTTTTCAGCCGTGCATGGGTTATCCTCTATGATCATACGGTGAATGCGTTACCACCGTCAGGGTCGCCTACACGCACCGAACTGACTTTTCGTTCCCGATTATGACCATCAGTCTCGTCGAATCCGTGAAAAAGCATAGTTATAAAGTGCTCGCTTTCTGGTTAATCTTGCGGATTTACAAATAATCCGTTTGCAAATGTATCTAGCCTTCGACTCCACCATCAGCATCTATATTCTGGAATTGACACCAAACAATGTGCCGTTGAGTGTCTGGTACCTCGCAAGTTTGACTTTTACAAGGCCGTGATTTGGTTTAATAGGTGCGGTGGTAGTATCTTGAAGGGGTCAAGCTATGAGAATTGAACGTATGGGTAGCTAATGCACACAATATCCTCAAAGATCTGATGGATGTGCTAGGGATGGTTCGCTGATCTGATATTCCGGCCAGTGTTCTACATAGTCCGGTCAGGACTGCAGTCCGGGCCGGACGATCTACCAAGATCTGTTCCGGTCCGGCCCTTCGGACGGACTGCCGAAAAGTAGTCTGTCCCGTCCATGGATCCCGATGACTGGAGGAGACTGCAGCCGACTACAGTCCAATGCCAAGAAATGAAAAAAATATTGTCCTTCTAGATATCACGAGATTACGCCAAACTAAGCCAGTAAAAAACTCTTCCCCATGACGTGACATTTTAGTGCGGAATCTTTCCACTACGTGAAACTTTCCATCGCTTTCTATTCCGCCTTATTTTGCCGTGGTTTTGCGATTCCTGAAGGAAAATATTTTTTTTCATTTCTTGGCATTGGACTGCAGTCGACTGCAGTCCGTCCTGACCTCAAACCCTTTCGGACTAGTCCGTCCGAACACTGCTGTTGAACGGACTGCCGAGATACAGTCCAGTTCGGTCCGAGGCCCAGGACGGACGGACTGGACTAAGTAGAACACTGTTTCCAGCCCGCCGCCGTTGGCCGGGCTGGGTGTCAGAGTTTTGTTAAGTACCGCAACGACGGCGACACGAATGACAGAACAGATATTAGAGACTGTACACCAGAAGCGCACTTACGCCGGCGGCGACCTAAAGAAAGACAGAATAAGACAAGAAAAAAAAATACATCCAAAATCAAGCTGCTAAAAAAGGTGGTCCGCGGGAGTAATTCCGGTAGCACGCGAAGTCCGCAACATTGGCAAGCCCCATTGGAATCCAGTATGACTTCATATCAGCGGTATTGCTTGGTGTGAGATTTGCATTCCCAGTTGCGTCTGAAATCTGTTGGACGGTCATATTAAGGGGGCAGATTATGTTGCGCTTCTTCTTGGCATACGGGCGATGACCGTGCCGGATCACCCTCGACGATACTAGAGTAGCAGAGACGTGAATGGATAGAACCCGCTCACTAGGGCTCAGGAGCAAGGCTGTCCGCGCTGGGCTATGTGCGCCGGGCTGTGGGCTGGCATTCATAGGGATAGCCTATTCTCTTTGTTTTGGGTAGCAATGTTGCTTCATGTGTTAGCGCAGGGGAGATAGGTTCATAACCGCTGTTACAAGAAAAAGGCGCCCCTGATTCTCCAAACAGTATGGTGGAGAATTAGCCAAGAACATGAGATCCTCTAGTTGCCAATAGGCGATGGAGAAGCTCACAGTCTTCATCCGTCGTAGAACGGAGCATGAGTACCGCGCGTTCGTTCGCGCGAGCGGTTAGGTTCCATATAGACAGGCCGTCCCACCATCAAGATATAGAAGGATGTGTGGTACTATCGTTTATCAATCTCCCACTCCATGTCTTTGTGAAAGGATTCTCATGTGTTTGTCGGAGGAGTCAGCCATCTGACCGGCTTATAAAAGCGTATGACACGACTAAGCAGTTATCCGGATAAATTCTTTGAATCTTCATGTTGGTGACGATGCGCAACTGAGACGAATGGAGCCAAAAAGTGTAGGGTGTATAAAGTCTTGATCATTCTCTGTCTTCTGCAGCGGCAGAAATCCCTCTATACATATGCAATGTAGATGGCCTCTAGGCTCACCCTGTCGGCGGGCTGCTTGGAAACCCTTCACGCTCAGGGCACCAAACTTGACCTGGACGCCTAAGCTCCGGTAATCAGTCGTTCGGCACCATATATGACTCGGACGCCTAAGCTCCGGCGAGAACTCCCTCGGCGCCAGGACTCTCCCGGAGCGATCGGACGTCTACATCTGACAGGATCCATAAGACAGGAAGAGCTCAACGTCTGTCACGTTATTCTGCCTGTGTCGCTTTCGAAAACTGCAAGTATGACGCTCATGTATTGGTGGGT